TCACTGCAACATGAAGTCCTGCCGCTCTACGAAGTTTTTATTTATTTTACATTTTAATTTAAATACTATTGCTTCATTAGGATTTTACAAATGGTAATTTATCGTTTTTTAAACGTTTGGCCATAAAATCTAGAAGTTTCACTGCATTTAAATTCACAATAAACACCATTAATTCACAGATATTTTCTGTATGTTTTACAGTTATATTCCACTGTTTCTTTCCTATTGTGTTTGGCACCTTTGCTGCCAGATTTGTGTTGTTTTTTGTTTGTTTTGGTTTTTTTTTTCTACACTCTGGTTTTGGATCAAAACCCAGTGCTGTACCTGATGAAATTAACATTCTGTAATAAAAGTCTAATAATTCTTGACATTACTACTGAATTCTGGGTGATTTCTGTTTGTGTGTTGAACACATCAGAGGCTATTTCTTCCATTAAATACCACATAAAGGTGTGTCATCTGACGTAACAGGTTCTGATCCGGCTCACACTGGTGTTTGGTCTGTTTCAGCTTTACATGTTTCAGATTTAGATTTTTAAAGCATGTTTGTTGGTACAACATTTTCATATTTACTTTAAACCAGACGTGTGTAAAATGCACTTTAATGTCTAACAGTGTTCAGTTCCATCGGCTCAGAGTTGTTTTGTGTCATCTGTCGGTGAGCCGAGCGGCCGGATTAACGAACAGGAGGTCAAACGAGGGCCGAAGCCCACTGATCTACAAAAGCTACATTTAGCCACAAACACACTCCCTGCTGCCCGCGACGCTGTTTTAAATATTACTAAAACTGGTGCTCATGACTACAGTGCACGGCTGGAGGTCACCGTGATCGGCTTCCTGCCCCGTCGGGGTTCAGGTGGGAACAGGTGGGCGTCATATTAAACACAAAGTGATCATGTTAAGCTGCTTGAACGGACCAATGAAGAGGCGCTGCCCACTTTTATCAGCTTACAGGCTTTTTGCCCCCTGAGTTCAGTCTGCAGGAGGCTTCCTGAGCCTCAGAGCCCACACGGACCAACAACGGCATCATGACGAGGTACACGTCTGAATCAGACAAATGATTGTGGTGCAATGATTGACCTTCAAAAAGGTGAAAACCCCAATCGTCTTTCTGTCTTTATGACCAGTTTTGTGCTTCAGGGGCAGCAGAGATGTTGTTGGAATAAACAGACGACGGATTGTTAAAGGCTGACTTCCATTAACTTCAACGTTTTACTAAACACGAGTACATGCCGGTGCAGATTCCTTCGTTTTTTAGAATTTGTGCGTTTGTCCTCATGAATAAAAACATAAAAGAAGCAGAAAACTCTAAAAGATGACCAACAAATGCAGCAATGCCTCAAAAATTGTCTTTTTCACTTTCAAATTATGAATCATGAGCTGAAAAACAACCATAAAACACGATTCAACCCACATATCTCCCACCGTTGGCTGACTTTTGTGTTCACATAAACATAAAGTGGTGCAGAAAAGGAACAAACAGTGAAAATGACAACCCGAAGCTTACGGGTTCAGCTCACAAAGGGGGTCGCTGAAGTGGACTCTGACCCTGACGGGATTCAATCGAAGCTTTAAGCCAGAATAAGTTGATTTATCCCAGTAAACTGTAGTGTTTATGTAGTCACCATGTGGGATTGGCCAAGCCGAGGGTCTTTATCGTGACTGACGGGTCGTTAGTCCGGAGTCGTGTCCTCCGTCTTAAACAATAGAGGAAGTCTGGATCAACGACGGGGATTAGCTCGTTAATGAGCTGCTGTCGAGGCTCGGAGCTCAGAGCTGTGGAGGAATCTGCAGCCGAACAGTGAAGCTGGAACTTCCAGGAGGATAAAAGTGAAAAACCTACGTCTTGGTTTAGGTTCAGACTTTTTACTGGTAAAAACTATCTGTGACGGTCTGATGTTTGTCACAGATCGAACAGCGAATTAACACCAAAATAAAAGCACCAATAAAAAAAAGAATAAATCTGAACCAACAGCAGCTTTACTTATGATTTGTTAAATAATAAAAGTTCTGTCCAACTTTACCGACAATAAAATAAAAACGTCCCTGTGACTAATGATTTACCTGCAGCTGATGAACTGTGACCTGATCCTGATAAATCACATCTGCACGCAGAGAATCATTTATAATCATAAATAATTAATGAAGCTACTGCTGTCGGTGATGCTGCAGCTGTTTAACAACCTCAGAGGAAATAATCCCAAATGACGGAAGCAGCAAACTTGAGCTATAAATCTGGATTATTTCAATAATTAGTGAGTTTTATTAAAGTTACTGGTGAAAGACTCTGGACTGGTTGCAGTAAAGTTGGATTTTTACGGACGTTTCGGTGTGTTATTATAAAGAAAAACGGGTGAGGAAGACGTTTAGAGATTTTCAAACAGTTTTTTTCTCTCTTTTCCATCTTTTTAAGATGAATGTTGGTGCTGAAATGTTCATTTTCGTCATTGCTGATGCCATCAGATTAACAGAAAGTAGAACAGAAAGACACCGACGACCAGATGAACACAATTTGTCTGGAAAGTTTAGCAAAGAAACACTAGAAGCTAGTTATTAAATATGAAGCCAAAATGGCCAAAAATAGATAAAACCATAAAGAACTTACAGTTAATAATCAGTGGAAGGGAATTTTACAGAGAGAGCTACTATTATCTGGTGATTTTCCAGAAAAAGTGCAAAGATTAGAGGCTTAATCATCAAGATTATTTTATGTAACATTACTTTTCTTGCTTTCGTAGCCTGTAAATAACATCATTCATCTGATTTATTGTTGGTTTTGAGGTGTCTCTGCTTCTCTTTATCCTTCATACAGCTACTACATTCATTTTTGAGTGCAAAAAACTGCCTAAAAGTGGAAGTCTCTCCAGTCTCGAGGCGATAAAGTGCAGAAATGCCACTTTTCAGACAGATCGAAGGCTGTGTGATGTTTTCTACTCAACCTTTAGGTGCATAAATACTTTAAACCTTTAGACAAGGTTGGAAAACCAGGTTTGCTTGATCCAAAGTCTCCATTTTGCTCCCAGTTACCCACCAGTTGAGCTGCGTAACGCTGCCCTCCTGTACATCAGTGTATCGCTAAGCCTGAACATGTCAGCAGCTCCTCTCTGTGTTGGATTTGCATTCACGGATTAATAATAATATCACTGGATCCTCGGAGCTTCTCCTGCTTTAATCTGCAGCCGCGGCAGCTGTGATCTGATCGGCTGCACGTGTTCGACCGCGGCAGTAAACAAGAAGCAGGTTCCAGTCGTGAAGCCTCAGTTTCGACAGACCAACAGGTAGTGAATCCTTAAAGACCAATGAGGTAACATGTAGCAGCAAACATCACAATCATAAAATGCAACAAAACGTGACCGTCTTACCCGACACGCTGCACCGACTACAGAATATAATCCAGAACAGCTTCAACAGTGTTGGACTGAAGCAGAATAACATCAATACGTTCTCCAAATGAAAGCAGCAGTAAAAGTACAAAGTACAAGACGGTCGCTTCCCACTGAAGAAGCTGAAGATATCACCGAGTCACGTATCAGAGGGTTAGTTCTGTCGTTATTGATCTACAGAGTCATATGAGCCACAGATTAAAGGGACGTGAGACGTTCAATAAGAGGACAGATAAGGGAAAAGAATCAATAAAAGGCAATAAAGGATTTATCCTCCTTCTAAGACGTCTCAGTTGGGAATTTAATCAGAAAGGCTAATGTTGTTATGCTAAATGCTAACCAGCCGCACCAATAGCAGCAGTAAGGCATGCTAACAGCATCCGCTAAAAGTTTAATCATGCCCCCCATGTTGACATGCACATATTAACATGCAGACATCCTTGTCTGTGTAAGCAAGTTAGCATGCTCAGAGCAAACAAAAACATCGATGAAACCGACAACAACGACTAAAGCCTGTCTGCTAAATACAACCTTTAGAACATCTGAGTGATTTTGGGGTAAATGTCGTGATGCTAAAGGCTAACCAACCATGCTAACAGCTGCAGTGATGCATGCTAACAACATCAGCTAACTGTTAAAGATCAAATCATGCATGTTGACAGAACATGAGGTATCATTCCGCACATATTAGCATGCAAATATTTGTCATGTATAGCTACACATGTTAGCATGTTAGCAAAACCTACTGAATCCTTGTCTGTGTAAACAAGTTAGCATGCTAACTGGTAAAAATCAAATCATGCATGCTAGCAGAACATGAGGAATCATTCCGCACATAATAACGTGCAAACATATAGCATGCATAGTTAGCATGCTAGCATGTTAACAAAACCTACTGAATCCCTGTCTGTGTAAGCAAGCTAGCATGCTAATAAGAGCAAACAAAAGCAGGGAGAGAGCTAACAACAAAGTCTGTCTGCTAAATACAACCTCTCGGACATTTCAGTCTTAGACTCAGCTGTGCTTTTCAGGTAAATGCTAATGCTGTTATGCTAAATGCTACCCCAACCCGCTAGTAGCTTCAGTAATTGATGCTAACAACATCTGCTAGCATGGTGGTGAACATGCGGTTTATTGCATAATTTTATCAAATCGCACATTAACATCCAAATATCACACATTTTAGCATGTTAGCAGTCTAGCATGCTAATATTAGCAAACGAAAGCAGAGCCACTGACAAAGAGAGAAGTCTGGCTGCTAAATACGACAATAGTGAAGCCTGTTAGAGTCACACTTTAGCCCTTTTCAGACAGAAGTTATGTAAAGTCATTAAAGGTCACTTTATGTTATTTTTCCTCATGGATTTATTCAGACCAACCCACCAGAGTGATGGAAAGAACCACAGTCTGCACGCTATATTTGTTTTTCTACTAAACCTGATATATAATACATAGTAATACACAGACAAAGTCATATCAGTCCATCAGATCACGAACAGTCTAGTTTGTCTGTGACCTCCAACCCAACAAAACTTAAGTCATAGAATCCAAAGTGAGCCGGAAAAGGAGTTTTATGATTCTGCAGAACCGACAGCCGCCGTGTTCTGTTGTTCCTACCTGGCCTCGATGTGGTCGAACAGATGCTGCCAGCGGTCGTTGACGTCCTTCAGCTTGTCGTTTATCTCCGTCTCCTTGGTCTTGTTGCTGGCGGTGATGAGCTGCTCGCCGAGCTGCTTCAGGTGAGTTTTATTCTCGCTGAACAGGTTGATTTCTTCCATGCAGTCCTGATGGAGACGAAGATAATTACATTTAAGTCACTCATTAAACTGTAACTCTGACATGTGAGGACAAGTTTGGAATTAAAGATTGATAAAATAAAAGACCTGACTTAAAACTATGAATCAAAGCAAAACCAACTGTGTTTTCATGCCTCATAAAAAGTTTGTTGCCTAAAGTTCAAAGCTAATGATTGTGAGACAACGTACAACATAATGTGTAACATTTAATTTTTATAAAAAACATATAAATATAAGATACAAAATGTCATGTTTTCTTGTGCAATAATCCAATTTAATGTCAATTATTTTAACTCAATGTGCAAAATTAAATTTTTCTGGTGCAACATTCCAATTTAATGTGTAATATTTTCAATAAATGTACAAAATTTGATTTAATATTTTATTATTTCTGGGTACAATATTCCAATTTCATGTGTAATATTTCATTACCATGCGTGATACTTTACTAGCTCAGTGTCTTTGCCAGTGTCACTCCGTTTTCTAGCTGGATTGTACTTACATGTTTCTACTAACATTTCTCATGTTATTCAGTTTAGTTTTCTGAGCAATACCTTAACAAAGTTTGAACTTATCTTGTTCTACCACAAAAAAAGTCTTAATTATTACTTTTAATGTGATTTTTTTTCTCTGCACACTCGTCTAAAATCTGCTTTCAGGCAAAATAAAAAATCACATCTTCTCCTTTTGGACGTTTGCCAGCGACCCCAACAAGAGTCAGAGCGTTGGTTCAAAGCACTAAATTTAAAGCTTGGGGGGCTGTGAAGCTTTAAAACCCCCCATTGGGGCAATAAGTTCGGGCCTTCCTGCCCTCCACCTCCCTGCAGTCACTCCTCCCGTCACGGAGGCCGAGGGTTCAGCACTAAACAGACCTGCTGGGAGCAAACAGCTGTCGACTCTTTAACAATCACGGCTTCCATAAAAGACCAGACGGTCGCCGCTGCGAGGACAAACTTTGACGTCTAAACGCTGCAGCGTCGGTGTTTTCAGAGCTGCAAAGTTTCCCGTCTACTTGTTGTAAACTTATGAGCAGCTAAAGCGCCTGGAAACCGAAGACAGAAGAGCAGCGGTGTGAGGCTACAACCGTACGGATATATTCAGTTTAAAAACAGCCAGCTCTAACTACGTTTACAGCTAGCGTCCAGGCTAATCTGGAGTTTAGGAAACCCTAAAGATAAGACTTCTGCTGACCTCATGTTAGCTTAAAATCTCTGCAAAAACTGAGACTTTCAGGAACTAAAAACTGGATCTAACTGAGTTGGCGATCTCGTCACCTTTTGCCGTTTATTCAACGTGCTAATTCATTCCAGGCGTTTCTGACCTTGTCATCTCTGCTAGCTGCTGTTCTTCTTCCTCTGGAGTGTTTTCTATGACTAAGAAACCAACTCCCTGCTTCGTGGTTACACCGACACCTGCATGCCTGAAGTATGCATGAACGCTCAGGTGACATGTGTTCTCAGGTGCGTAAGAGATCAGAAGTAGAGATAAAATACTCGTCTGCATATTAGTGAGGATGAAGCCTTAGAAAAGAGGCCACCGGGACACCTACGAGTCCTCTGAAGGAGTTCACATAAAACTTTATTAATCCCAAAGTAAACTCTTTAATCACTTTTATCTTAACTCCTTCAGAGGACTGGTAGGTGTCCCGGTGGCCTCCCTCCATCCCAGTGAACCAGGTGATTACAGTGTTGAGCGTGTCCTTTGCTGCCCACCTTCTTGAGCTTCTCCACCATCTCCTCGATGTTGAGGTCCGAGTTGTGCGCCACCTTGTTCTCCATGTGCGTCAGCCATTCGCACAGCTCCTTGTTCTTCTCATTGAAGATGATCCAGGCGTTCAGCCGGTCGGCGATCTCCTGTTTGCGCAGAGACACCTGACGGGGAGAAGATGGGGAATTGAATAAGCTCCGTGACTTTAAGGTGCTTAGTCGCGCTGCGTACGTCTGATCTGAGTCTCATTGTTGTGATGAAGCTGCAGCTGCTGCAGCGGTCACTTCGGTTTAACATCATGTGATCTGAGCTGAATGGATGGAAGATGGTGGATAATGTAGGACATGACAACCAGCATCGACTGCTCTGGTTGTCAGATGTTAGCTTTAAAACAAACAGCTGGCTCTGGAGATAACGCTGGTTTCTTAAAAGTCACTTAATCCAGCAACTAATTCATAAAAAAATAACCTTATTTATTTAGCAGTTTTAAAAACAGATGAAATAAAAGCAAAGTAATAAAAGCAGGCCGTGGGACAGAAATTTAGATAAAGTTAAAAGATTAAAGATGTTAAAATACATAACACAGTATGTCAACAATAACAAAGTAAAACACAAATATAAACATCAAAATAAAATAAAAAGCGAGAAAAAAAAGATGACATCACAAAAAAGCAACACTACAAATTCATGATCTACTTTCTATGATAGTTTTCTGTTAATTATAATAATAATAACAATAATAATAATAATAACAATAATAGCAGCAATGTGAAGAAGACAAAAAAGAAGAAAGAAAAAAAGGAAAAAGCAGAAGTAGGGGAAGAATTAGAAAAACAAAAAGAAGAAAGAAAAAGAAAATAAAGAAAAACAAGTAGAAGAAGAAAAAACAAGAAGAAAAACAACTGAAGACAAAGAAGAAAAGAAACAGGAAAAATAAAAATAAAAACAAAAGGAAGAAGAAGAAAAAGAAGAAGAAAAAGAAAAAGAATAAGAAAAGAAGACAAAACTGAAAAGAAGAAAAACAAAAAAAGAATAAAAAAAAATAAGAAGAAGAAGAAAAAAATAAAGAGGAAATAAAACAAAAAAGAAAAAGAAAGAAAAGGAAGAAGAGGAAGAAAAACAGAAAGAAAACAAAGAAAAACATGTAGAAGAAGAAAAAGACGAAGAAGAAGACAGCTGGGTGTTGTAGCAACAGTTTCCTAAACCAGAGAGTTTTACTAACAATCAGACGGATCAGAATCCAACACCAGCTCTGAACTTTTCTCCACCTCAGACTTCATCAGCTGCTGTCTGGAGGTTTTTATTCTACCGCTGGAGAAGTCGGATCATCATCACATGGACTCAACTTTACCTGGAAACCCTCGACTCACTCGACTCTGACTGCGTTATTATGATGTTATTATGATGTTATCATGATGTTTGATGTGTGGCTGGATGTTCTGTTTAATCTCACTCTGACAGACTGATGAAGAAGCAAAGTGATCTAAACGGGTTGGTTATGTTCAGAGTTAAGACAAAAAGCTCCAACGGGGTTACCGGAGGTCAACCAACCAGAACTCCATCAGAGACAGTAGAAAGTGAAAGTCACCACCGTCCCCTCCCCCCCACAACTCATTTTCATACAAAAGCTCTTCTCAGCTCATTACTACATTTTCTCTCCATCTGTCCCCTGGTTTCCCACAATGCCCCTCACCTCCCCCCCGACTGTCACCCTCACAATCCCTCCAATGAGATTTAGTGAGCAGCTCCTCGTTAAAGGCGACACTTTAACGCTCCATGTGGGGAACTGGAGCTTCAGAGGACGTTGGATCTAATCAAGTCTTAACCACAACAAAGTGTTTATTAACCTGAAGCTCGTCTGGACTCAGCAGGAGAGTCTCAGGGCCTTACAAATGTGTTTTTATTTAACATTTCCAGCCAAAGCGGTGGTTATATTTGGCTGTAACATGACAAAGAAGCTCTTTTAGTGATTTTCAGGAACTGGACGACCGAGGAACCAGTTTGGTCGCATTTTAGACAAAAAAGCTGAAAACAACAAATGAAAAATGGTGCAAATGGTTTGTTTTGGAGGAATTTTTATATGGGACACAGAAAAGAGGATTTTATGAAACATCACAGATTTAAGGTTAGATTTGGTCATTTTTCTGGATGGAGCTGTTGGAGATGTTCTTAGAAATCTGATCCTTCTGCTTTGATAAATGTTTGTTTTTTTTGTTTTTTTTAGAAAAATACAACTTTTAAGCCTGTTGTTGGTTTTGGGGTTAAAGTTTATGTATTTTAGGAAAAAAAAGTATTTTAGTATTTAGTTTACCTACTTGAGTTGTACGCCATAGATGAGATGTTCACAGACCATCAGAAAGCTAAAAATCCATTTTTTTTTGTTTTTGTTTTTACAGTTTCTGGTTCTGATAAATGGTGTAATTTTGGTGATTTTTATCAAAATAACATGATTTTTAAAACTGTTCTGGACTCTGTTGCAAAAGATTTATTTTTTTGTGAATTTTCAAACAGGCAGAATAAAGTGAGTTTGATGAAAGTTTTAAGCTTAAATTTGGTTATTTTTCTGACTCAGCTGTACATCACAGATGAGATGTTCACAGACCATCAGAAACCTAAAAATCCAATATTTTTTTCTGTTTTTACAGCTTCTGGTTCTGATGAATGGTGTAATTTTGGTGATTTTTTTTTCCAAAATCAATTATTTTTTTCCCACGATTTTCAAACCTGTTGCAGGTTTTTGGGATTCAGGAGGTCAAAAGGTTCGATATACAAGTTAAACATCTTTATTACTGTGTTTCTATCAGCACAAGTGAGTAAAAGCCAATATTTATTTGACGTTTTTACAGTTTCTAGTTCTGATAAATAGTGTAATTTCACTGATTTCAAAAGAAAAAAAAGTCCTTCCAGTTATTTTTGGGGTTTAGACGTTTAAAAGTTCAACTATTCTCAGGTTTTTACAATGAAAACTGAATAAATTCCTCATAAATTCCCAAATTCCATCAAAGTTAACACATTTTGAAGAAAAAAGAACCTGTTATTATTATTTATTTCAGCAGCCTGAGCTGTACGTCACCGATGAGACGTTCACAGACCTTCAGAAAGTTAAAAATCCAATATTTTCAATAGTTGTTTACAGTTTCTGGCTTAAAAAATGGTGTAATTTTAATGATTTACTTAAAAATAATAATAATAATTCCAGTTGGTTTTGGGGTTCAGAGGGTTAAAAAGTCCATCTGTTCTCAGGTTTTTAGAAAGAAAACTGAATAAATTCCTCATGAATCATCACACTCCACCAAAGTTAATATAACTTAGAGCAAAAACAAACAAACATTTTATCTATTAAGTTCAAAACAAAGTCAGAGTTGCTGAGGAGGCAGAAATAATCCGACCAACTGGGGCTAATCTCAAAGAACCGCTGATTTGATAACTAAAATCAGGCGTGGAGAAGAAGTGGCTCTTCAGAGTCCAACCTGAGCAGCTTCCAGGAAGACCTCTGCAGACTCACCTTGAGGCAGAGTTCCTCCCACTGGCAGTGCAGATGCTCCACCTGCTCCTGCAGCAGCAGCACGTCGTCGGCGATGATGTACTGCGTCAGGTCCGTCTTCATGGCGCTCAGCTCCGTCAGGCTCTCAGCCCAGTCCTCCAGGGAGTCCTCGTTCTCCTGCATACCACAGCACTCCGTCAGGGACTCCCCTCCACTGCCTCCCCGCCAGCCTTTCTCTTTCTATCTGCTTTCTGTCTTTCTCCGCCCAGCAGAGGATTAAGGGCCGCCGGCAGCAGGCCGGCTGGGGGAGGGGAGGCCTGGGGGAGGGGACGAGGATAAAGGCTGGACGGCCCCGATGGAGGGGACGAGTCGGGAGGCCGGCCCTCACACCTCCCCTCACACCTCCCCTCAAACCTCAAACTTCCCCTCAGACCTCCCCTTAAACCTCCCTTTAAACCTCCCCTTAATCCTCCCCTTAAACTTCAGACCTCCCCTTAAACCTCCCTTAATCCTCCCCTTAAACTTCAGACCTCCCCTTAAACCTCCCCTTAAACCTCAGACCGACAGACTCCCTACAGATGGATCAGAACCAGACCTGCTGCAGGCCGATACTTTAGTTCTTCCACCGTTTCCTCGTGTCTAAAGTTGCTTTTAACGTTTTCTATTAAAACAAACCTGCATTTATCTCAGTTAATAAGTCACAACATTTTATTTGTCCATTTTATTCTGGTTCATCCTCTATTTATTTATTTATTTATCTATTTATTTATCTGTTATTGTTTTTGTGTTTATGGTTTTACCCTCCATGCTGTTGGTCCACTAATCTGGTATTTTAGGTTCTTTTACTTGTTTTTTTTTTTTGTTTTTTTGTTTAATTCAATCATTTTGAAAATATTTTACCAAGTTAAACTTTATTTCTCAATTTTTGCCTGAGAATCCTCCTTTTCTTTCTTGCCCTTATTTTTGATTATTGTTTTTATCATTACTATTATTGTTGTTGTTGTTATTATTATTATAAATAATGCTTTCCCGCAAGTCACAAGTTGTTTACATTACTAATTATCTAATAATTAGTTAATAACATAATAATTATAATTTATTATTATTCATATAAGAAGAACTACTACAATAATAATGACATTTTTTAATTATCATCATCATCATTACTATTATAAAGTTCTCAAGTTCTTTACAACATTCGTAATTAGTTAGTTAACTAACAGTTAATTACAACATGAATAATAATAATAGCAATAATAACAAGAACCATTATAATGATAATGATAATTATTATTATTATCATCATCATTATTATTATTATTGTTATTATTATTTCTACGACTCCTCTGCACATTGTAAGTTGTTTTAAAAGTTTAAAATCACATCTTTATTTCTCTTTCTACAGTTTCTGGTTCTGAAAAATTCTTTAATTTTGGTGATTTTTTTTTGTTGAATTATTTATATTTTCAAGACAACGTGACTTTTAAACCTGTTGTGGGCTTTTGGGGGTTCAGAAGCTTAAAAAATCTGTTTTTTATTTTAGTTAAACCATCGATGATTCTTGTATTTTCTGCTTTTATATTTACTACTGCATCACGTTGTGGACGCAGGTTCCTCCTGAATCACACACCCCATCAATGCTGATATGTTTTAGAGAGGAAATAAACATTAAATCAGAGTTGCCTGAATGCAGGAATAATCCGTCTAACTGGGGTTAATCTCACCTCTGAGGGAGCCTTGCTCAGAGTTTACTTTGGCAGAAATCAGTGGTTTGGCTCCTGATGCTGAGGTTTAACTCAGATCAGATTACTGAGGATCCAGAGCGGCTCCGACTGCAGCAGCGAACGTTGTTTAAAACCTCTGCTTTGGTTCATTATGTCTGCTTTGGTGCACTGTTGGTTCTAAACATCCTCCCTGTGACCTTTCTACGTGCTTTGGTTTGTCTTAGCGTCCTCACCTTGAGGAGCTGCTCGGCGCTCGGCAGCTCGTCGTCGCTCTCTGGCATCGACTGGTTCAGCCTGGTCTTCACGTCCTTCAGCTGCACCAGGCTGTCGGCCAGGCCGGCCTCACAGCGCTCCCAGTTCTGCAACGCAAAACCCATCGTCAGTCACGGGAGCTTACAGGGCCGACCGGCGACCAATCAGAGTGACGTGTCATTAATCAGATGTGATTGGATTAAAGGGCGGCTCTCAGGAGACACCAAACTAGAGACACACCGTCAGGAATCAGGAAGGAACTCAAATCAGCTCATCAGCTCTACTGTTTAATGCAAATAACAGGAGTTTGGCTCATTTCTACCAATTTATTTAATGTTCAGAGCTCTTTAAAACTTAAAAACATGAGCTAAACAAATAAAAAACTCATTAATTTTAATTTATATGGATGCATTGTTGGAGTTTTAACTCTTTTGAGAAAACAAACTTCCTGTGTGTCTTTGTCAAACTAAATTAAATTAGAATTGTTGCAGAATTAACATTTATCTCATCGTCTTTTAACAGGTTCTAGTCAGAAAAATGTCTGACATTATGAGTTAAAGCAAGATTAAACTCTTTAAACTGTGAAAATATAAAAGAAAACCAGGTTTGTATCTGTGACAAGCTGCTTCAACTTAATATTTTAAGTTTTTTTCTTCAAGTTCAGTTCATTTCTCTCGGCTAGTTTTACACTTTCGCAGCTCGAATAACTTTAATTAATCAACCAAAGTGCAGCTAAGTCACATTTTAAGGCAGCAGAAGAAGAAACACGGTGAAATATTCAGATTTGTTCTTTGTCTTTTCTCGCTTATTCTCAGTTTATGCTAAAATACCTGATAAACAATCACTACAAGCTTCTACAAACTGTCAAATTTAATTAAAAATTAATATTAAAACGACCAACAGCCACAAACACTGACGTGTCTGATTAAACGCTGACATTTTAAAGGTTCTAATTCTTCACCTTAATGTTTAAATTAATCAGGCATATAATAAATACTTTTATCTGATTTCAACTTTCATTTTTAAACTTATCGGGTAGATTCAGTGACTAACTCATAAAATAAAACACACTGGTCACTTTTTTTGGGGGATTCTAATAAACTTCGAACAGAACCTCAGAGTGATTTTTTCAGGGCGATAAAAAACAGTTTTCTCATCGTCTGACTCTGCGACCGAGCCGATGAAGTCTAAAGTTTAATCGATTTCGTGCCTCCAGTTCCAGCGACTGGTGCAGCTTCATTTAACCGAAGCTCCGGCAGCACGATGACGACAGCTCACAGGTCAGACGTGGAACTAAAGCAGACTTCTGCAAAAGAGAAAACCTGATGCTGATGCTGGCAAAATGGTTGAAAGTAAAGAGTCTGACTGATGTACTGATCAGCTGGTGTTGTTTTATGGGACACTTTAGTGCCTTTTTAAACAGATAATGAAGCAGAAAAAGAAGTAATTTAGAAACAGAGCAGCTCTGATTACTTTATTTTTAATCCTGTCTGCACTAAAACGCTGCTAAAGCTAATTAAAATGACTCCAACATTTGGAAATTTCAATGTAACTAACAAACTGTATGTATATGTAAGACTATATACATACACAATATAAAGAAGGCTGGCCAATAAATCAAAACCTGAAGTTTTCAGCCACTAAAAATCAGCTTCTGCTCTGAAAATCTGTTATCAGCTTTTTTAAAACAATAACACAGAGCTCTATTGTAGATTCCATCTTCTTTTCCATCTGTTTTTATAACTGTTTCAGACTAAAAGCTGCTTAAAACCAACATAGGAAACTTTCTACTATTTGTTTTTTTAGTGTTAAAATGTCTAAAAAAGCCAAACCCTGAAATTCATTTAATAAAATTTTAAAAATATCAGAAAAAACACCTGAAGCATCACTGTGAGGAGTTACTACGGCTGCAACTGGTAATTATTCTTATAATAGATGAACCTCTTCATTGTCTCGTTGGTTAACATTTAGAGCTACTGCAAAATGTCAGAAACTGGACAACAGTGTTCGTCACCATCTTCCTCAGAAGCTGGTGAACAAGCTTTTCATACAGACCAACAGGCCCAAACAACTAAAACATCAAACAGATTAAAGTTAAATTGATCTAAAACTCAGAATCTCTTCCTCGTTGCGAAGCTCGAACCAGAAAATCTCGCGGCGCTACCTTGATGATGGCCTCGGTGAGCTCCATCCTCCGGCCCAGCAGCCCGTGGAGGCTCTCCCACTCCTCCTGCAGCGTCCCCAGCTCCGTCTGCAGCTGGGCCTGGGTGTCCTCGTCACCCATGGAGAAGAGCTGCCTGCCGACCTCCAGGGTGTGGATGAAGCTGCTCTGGTACCTCTGGAACAGCAGCTCCGTGTGCTGAGGAGAGAATGAAGGAGGAAGCTGGTGAGTTGGGCTGTTTTCTAGCTTCAGAGTTGATGATGTTATCTTTACGATCAATCAGTTTAAATCCCTTCACTCGTCTTTCACCACAACAGCAGCATCAGGATGGAGAAAGTTTCTTATCTTTTGTTAATACAATCAGCAGTGATAGACAGCACATCTTAAACCACTTATCTGTCTGAGTGATCATCTGACGAAGGAATAATTTGATAAAGAGGGAAGTTCTCTGTGAGCAATAAAATAACGATAACTTCTGGGTTCGTAAATGTCTAGAAATTAGTAGTTTAGGCTCTAATACACACAATTTACTCTGTTCTGGATAATTATGACGTTATAGCTCAGAAACTGTCAATTCAGTAGCTTCATTTTCTCCACAGTCAGGCTGAAGTTTTTAATCCACTGTCACTAAAATGCAACATGCAAGATTTTGAACATGAATACAGCTTTAATAGAGCAGCAAGTGTGTGGAAAGTGGTGGAAGTTTGTACATGTTGGAGGATGTTAGTAGAAGCTGGTGCATGTTGGTGCATGTTGGAGGATGTTAGTAGAAGCTGGTGCATGTTGGTGCATGTTGGAGGATGTTTGTAGATGTTGGAGTTTGTTGGTGGATGTTGGCAGATGCTGATGGATGTTGGTGGATGTTGGTGGATG